ATGACTGTCATCGTTCGTTGAAACTGACACCAACCTCATTCAGGGTCCAATGCCGCTGCCTGTCTCCCTGTATCTCTGCGATTTTGACTTTGCACGTCTCACCGCACCAACGGAGCTGGCTTCTGCTTCGAGCTATGGATGAAGTCTCGACCTCGATCGTCTTTGCTTCTTCTTGTCAACCTCGTCTCCACCTCAAAAGCTCGAGCTCGAGCTCGAGGGGTCTCCAAAGATTATACTTTGTTCTTTTCTTGGCGCTTGTTTCCATGAGGCTCTGCATCACCACGCCCGAGGGGTTGAACGAAATAATCGCCGAGGTTTGATATTAGGTGTACGAGTATAGTGTGTGTGTTGTTTCCCATAACGCACACCACGGAGATGGCTTCCACTTCGGGACAAACGTCTCGCCGCCTTTGCACCCCGGGACCCAGATTTTATGGTTTGGCCATTCCGGACTCTTTGAGATTGTGTGAGGCTCTGCTGTGCCGTGATCGCCGGAGTTCGAGGGGGACTCGGGAGCTTGCAGGTCTCCGAAGAGCATGGTTCAATGTCGCCGGAGTCGCGCCGTGTTCAACTTTGACAATGCTTGCTGAGTTGCCGCTACCGCACTAGATATGCCGATGAAAATGTGTCTAATATACCGCACCCCTTGTTTCGAGTCCAACCCGCTGTCATGTAGATCTAGAGCGGTCGGGACACATACGATGTAGCCCGTCGTCGCCTTTGGCCAAGCCGGCATCCGCAAATCCACGCCCTCCCGCTGGATGTACCCAAGAACCCCCACACCCATTTCCATCTCCAACGCACCCAAACTCCCATGTTCGCATAACCTGACGCTGTGACATGGCCGATCGATCAACGTGTCTTCCCATGTCCATGGCAGAGTCGACCGTTTTCGAAATATTTGCAAAGCTCTCCGTTCGTCAAAGACGGAGATGAAAGAGACGCCTAGAGGAATAACGGAACGCCAAGGAGATATCATCAGTCCGCCTCGGCTAATTGCATGATCAGCCTGGCCGCCATGTCCAGGAACGGGAAGGGACTTGTGACGTCCTTCTCCTCGAGCAGCCTCCTATCAGCTGTCTCGTACCCAGAGCACTTGAAGTCCACGAGGTAGACCCCGTGTTCCATCTCGTAAATCTGAATGTCCAAGTGCAACGCCACGAAGTCCCGCTTGACATTGTCGTCTCCAACGACATGGTAGCTGTCTGGAGTCTTGGATCCCTCGGTAGGAGTAGTCGATGTCTTGTGCAATGCTATGGAGACTTAATAACATACTAACAGGTCATGAGCATTGGCGACTTACTTGATGTTTCCCATCGAACATTGATATGCCACGGGTCGGCTGGAAGTTTGTACCTCTTGAGAGGGTCGATGCTTGCCGTTGAGTCGTTGGCCCCCTGGGATGCGTAGTCGTCAACAAAGCTGCCCTCGTTGCTGGGCTGGTCTGCCTCCGAGCCATGCATCTTTTCGTAGTCCTCGTCTGGGACGTAGGTCGCCCCCAGCTTGTTAAGCGCTTTGTGGATACAGAGGAGAGCTTCCCAAGGGGCGTTGCGAGATCGAATACCAAACTGCCACCGGACCGGTTTTGTCTTCTTAGTTGTAGTCACCGGCGTCATACTCTGTGGCCGTGTCTTGGAGTCGTCGAGCCGGACTTGGCTTCGAGAATGAGGCTTCAGGTGGCGGGCAGTCTCTTCCCTCTCAGCGTCTGTGCGAGACGCGGATGGCTCGTTGACCACAATCGTAGGAGTCGGTTGGTCCACGATGCCTGCCTTCGCACGCTCTATATACTCCTTATGATAGGTTGGCAAACTGCTGGGCAGGATACCGATCTTGCTGATGTACGGCCGCTGTACACTAACGCCGGATGCACCAGACCTCGCTGACGATGCGCTTGGAAGCGGGCTATTTGAGTCCTGATCGACGGAAAGTGATGACATGGCCTCTGTACGAGAGGATGGGTCAGAACTTATGCTAGGCCCATGGGGTCGGATCTGCTTACCATTCACCTGCATGAGCTTATACTCACGAACAATCATGTAGGCGTCCTTGATAGCCGAGGGCTCCGCGGCTTGCAGGGCCTCCTCGACATCCTTCTTTCCGTAACCCATGGTCTTACTGATCTTCTCCGTGACCTCATTGTGAAGCTTCTCTTGGACTTTGGGAGGGGCGTTGGGCGCGATATCGCTCTTCTGGATGGCCTTGTTAGGATCCACGCCCGTATTGTAGAACTCCTCCACAGGGGGTGCAAGGTATGGCGGCAAGTCGGTCATGAACCAAGGGTCCTGTCGGATGTCCTCAATGGTGGCACGTTGCACGGGGTTTACGACTAGCATCTTCTTGATCAAGGTCGCGGCGCCAGCGTTCATCCACTGAGGAATGCTGTAGGTACCGCGGGCGATCTTGGCAAACAAGCTGGGGATGTGCTCGTCGTCGAACGGCAACCTGCCCACCAGCAAGACATAGAGGATCACGCCACAACTCCACACATCTACCTCGGGGCCAGCGTAAAGCTTCCCGCCAATCACTTCTGGAGCGGCATAGTTGGGACTTCCGCAACTTGTCTTGAGAAAGTTTCCGTCCGTCATGATGTTACTTAGACCAAAGTCGGCAATCTTGACGTTCAGGTTGTCATCCAGCAATAGGTTTTCAGGTTTCAAGTCTCGGTGTACGATTTTGTGGCGATGGCAGTACTCGACGGCGCAGAGCATCTGTTGGAAGAATCGGCGAGCCTCGGGTTCCTTCATGCGCCCATTCTGTACGATGTAGTCGAAGAGCTCGCCGCCGGCGTATTCGAGGACCATGATGATCTCATTTGGTGTCTTGATCACAGTATATCTGAGGACGCGAGGGTCAGCCAGGGGGTTCGGCGATAAGAGCAGTTTGCTTGCATGTGACATACAACTTGATGATATGAGGGTGTCGCAGGAGCTGCAGATATTCGATCTCGCGCTCGACGCGACCAGCCATGTCTCTGCTGATGAGCTTCTTTCTGGCGATGATCTTGAGCGCGACCTGTTGGCCGGTGCCATTATGAATAGCCAGCTTGACCTTTCCGAAGGAGCCCTCGCCGAGTGTCTTGATGATCTTGTAGGCGCCGATACGCTGCTCCGTCTTCATCTTGTCCCGCAGCGGGGCGGTGGTATCGATCGGAGGAGCCATGTTGAGGGCGTCGGGTGGTTGAAGGTGGTCGTGAGCTCCGGCGGCGGCACCAGCGGCGGCACCGTGCTGCTGGGAGCGTCGACGGATCTGGGAGGGCGAGAGGCTGATATGGAGCTCCTCCTCGTCGAAGCCGGAAGCCATGTTGTCGGTCGGGGGGAGGGGGGGGGGCTCAGGTCGTTTTTGTTTAAATGGGCTGTGGCCGGAGCAAGCCTTGGACTTGGACCACACAAGTGGGCATGACGAAGTTGGATTGTGGAGGGGAACATCGACGGGTGGAGGGCTGCCAAGAAGCTCCCTGGTTCGCGGCAGACCTTTTTTTCTCCTCGCCAGCGGGCACGTTTGGGTAGTCCAGGCACCTCAGGAGCACCTCAGAAGCACCTTACAGACAGGTCGCCCGCCCGCTGTGGTGGGGAGATGAGCCGGTCTGTGCATTTTCGTTCCCTTTTTGGGCTGCCTTTGGGGGGAGATGGAGGGGCAGCTTCCCACTGCCTACAGGGCATCCGGCGTGTCTCAGTGGACAGCGATATTGTTTACAGCAGTCGGGGGCCGCTGTAATTGGTGGGACCATTCTTCGTGGAATCGGCGCGAATCAGCCACCATACATACCATTGGGCCACCACCCAGTCAGTTGTCCTGGAAGCTGCAGTTCTGTCCGAATCATGGCCCGATTCCATCACGCATGTTGGGCTCGCCTTGGCCGCTTGCAAAGCGCATTCAATCAAAAATGGTTGAGCTCGAAGAATGCCGTTGCCTGTCACATCTTGCCCCCTCAAAATTTCCCCCGATGGTGGTGAGCACACGGTTGAGAAGTGACAGATCATAATGGAAGCTGAGTGAGCCGACGCGCCTGAATGCCCTGAACCGTCTCATGATCGCTTAAAGGTTGTCTTGCATGTGAGAATAAGGTAGTCGTCAACGGCCAGCGTCGATCAGATGACAGCTCTGCCAAAGCCCTCCACTGCCAACAACAATATCATTGCCAATCATAGCTGGTACCGTAGCTGAAGAGAAGTCTTGTACAATCTGTTTCGTTTCTTGTCTAGCATGACCTCTCCATTGCGACCCTTCGATACACCACCACTCTTGGCTACCCGGAATCCCCAGTTTCCCTTGACTCAAGGAAAATGAGCCCAATGATCGTCGTGGTCTGCAGGTCATCTCGATGACAGGCCTGCAACTTCATACAAGGCACTACAGCGTCTCCGCGCCGGCTAAATTCCCCAAAATAGCTCAAGGAGCGTGGTTCCCTGTGTCCCGATATCGCCAAATGCCCTCACATCGCGTATTAATCAACTTGTCAGTCCAGCATTGCCGCGAGGGCACATATTGTCAGGATTGTATCTGCAAGTGTGTCCCAACCGAGAAAACTCAACCGGCGGTCTGGAGAGCATGCATGCGTTCGCTTCCATTAGGACTCCTTTCGTCCACGTACAGCGGGAGTTGAACACGGGGTTGTGCGGGGTGGAACTCAGTCTGCAGGACAGAAGAATCTGCAGCGACTCCAGTTCCGAGGTTAAGAGGATAACTCACGATCCCCTCCGGGTGCTTGTTCCTTGCTCCAAAACCAAGCCAAGTGGAGGTGAGTGGATGCTCAGGATCCGCGGAGCTACCTACTACCCAACCCCTTCGTCCAAGGTCGCAGCGGATCCCAAGAATAGCAGAATCCGGCGAAAAGGATGAGATCGTCTTGCGCAAGTTTCTGTAAATCAAACACCCTGCCCTTGGTTGCCAGTCATGATAGGTGCGAGGTAGCTAAGATTACACGTCGAGTTACAGTACTGTACAAGTCGAAGTTGACCACTGGGCGCTTGTATAGCATCAATTTTGCAGGTCTGTCAAGGCTATCGTGCCTTATCCTTCTCGTCTTCTTGTCGGAGCCTCTCCTTTAGCTTGTCTGTGAGGTAAGGACTAAGTCCGAGCCTGCAGATTGTCAGGTTAGTTCATTTCAACTTTTCTCGCCAGGACAGGCAACTCACATTCCCTCATTGGTGATGATCCGATAGGTGCCGCTAGGTTCGAGGTTGCCAATGATGTTTCCGCTCTGATCAACCTCAACGCTGCCCAAAATGTCTTCAGGCCAGGCAATACGACCAAAGTCTGGAGGGTTTCTCGAGTCGCTCAGGTGGACGTAACCGCCGTGTCCTCCTCCTCCGGCGCCACCACCGCCGCCGACCTTACGCGAGCCTCTTTTGCTCTTCTGCGCAAAGAAGACGCCTCCAGATCCCAAGTTGGCTCCGCCAGGACCGGCAAATGCAGCTGCCTGTGCGAGCAGGTCCTTGTCCTTGTGCGCATGCTCAGCGAGGACCTCGTAGAGGATCTTGGTAAACGTTCCGTTCTCGATGAATGACTGCGGCGTGGGAGGATCCCTCGTAGAAAAGCCTATGGCTATTCTTTGGTTGGGCGGCTCATCTTCGAGAAATGACAGAAGGAAGGAAGCTCGCGACGCATCCGCAGGGAACACTTTCTACGGCGTTCGGTCAACTTACAACTGTGAGAATTGCGGTGACAAGAAAACAAGATTTACTCACAATAGATGGGTTTGACGCCAAACTAGAGACAGAGCGCAAGAAGGGAGTTCTGTACCTCGGGAGGAAGCGGGCTGCTGGGGCCAACATTTTGAGCAATTGTGGTGCAGAGCATGCGACCGTTGAATGCACTTCGCCTTACCTTTGAAGCTTTTTCGTCGAGGTAACAGCTCCCACTCCTCCACCCAATGATGACGGCATGCTGGAGTCTCGAGGGGGAGCTGCAGCCACAGGGAGCGCACAGCCGTAGAACGTCCAATTGGGGGGAGTGTGGCGCATGGACCCTGGCGCGGTTGAGGGACACTACGTATACGCGCTCAACTTTCGAAAACGCGGTACGAGACGCGTCTCAATTAAACATTCCCAATCCACGACGAGTGACGAACATCGACCTCTGCGATTCATTGCGACAGCCGCATCTCGACAACGCAATTGACGCCTTCGCCTTCGATCAATCCCAAACTCGACCTCACAGAAAATGGATCCTCCACCGTCGATCTCTCCAAAGCGGAAGCAGGTGCCTATGGCCAACATCTTCAACACCAAGACACCTGCCCCTCCTTCGTCCTCCGCGATACCCTCGTCCTCTCCCGCATTCGGCACTCCTGTACACCCGCTCAAGCCCTTCAAGGTTTCTGCGCCAACGAAGCATGCTATCCTTCCCATCATTCTGCCACCAGCCACTCTCAGACCCCTTGCCTTCCGAACGTTTACGAAAAAGCACAGCTTGACTCTCACGTCAACGGCGCTTCAAGAACTCGCAACATTTATAGGCCGGCATTGCGGCTCAGGGTGGCGTGAAGAGGGTTTGGCCGAGAAGGTTCTTGAGGAGGTGGCCAAGTCTTGGAAGAATCGAAATGGCGGCGTTATTGTTGATGGAGCGAGTTCGGAACTCAAGGACATCTTAAAGACCTTGGAGGGCAACATGAGCGGGGGCAAGATCGTCACTGGTGCAAGGGGTTTGAGCCGGCAGAACAGTCTTCTGCTCGAGCCTGGCCAGGATGCAGACTTTTCAAGCACGAGGTTGGGTCTGCGGCCGGCGCAATCTGCTTTGGTACGGGAGGACAGCCAACAAAGCCTTGGCATATCAAATCTTGGCGTCGAGGAGGAGGACGACGACGACAACGTGAAAGATGCCAGGAAATGGCTGAAGGTCATCGACGCCTACGAGCAACCCAGGTTCTCTTACAACGTAGCCAAGAAGCATTTCGAAAGGTGAGCGCCCTTCTTCGTTGGCTCCAGCAAGCTTTCTGACCAGATTCGCAGGGATACTTCGAAGCCGTCTTTACTGCCGTCGGCGTCGCACAAGACCGCCCTATTTCGAAACAGATATAATGTCATCCACCAAAGGTTACTACGAAATGAGTCCTTTCACACATCGGCCGTGGCGAGCGCAAGAGCGCCGTCGCTCAAACACTCGTTATCAAACCAACAGAACCACAAGATTACACCGATCGCAAACATGCTGGGCCGGCACGGCAGCCATCACATGCTTCTCGGCATACTGAACGTTCTACCAGCAGGAGGGCTTGCCATAAGTGATCTAACAGCTACCATCGCCCTAGACCTATCTCAAGCTGTTGCGATTCCTGAAGATTCGGCCTGGTTTACCCCGGGTATGATTGTACTGGTGGACGGCGTTTACGAAGAGGAAGAAGAGTCAGTTGGCAAAGGCTTGAGCGGGAGCAGTGGTGTTGGTGGCACCCTAGGTGGCAGATTTCAAGGTTTCTTCATCGGACAGCCGCCATGTGAGAAAAGGAAAGCGACACTGGGCGTCAGCGGACCCGACGGCGGACAAGACCACACCATAGGAGGTGGATTCGGCTGGATTGACTTCCTCGGTGTTGGCAGTGAACGAGCGGTCGGGGCACGCATGCGAAAACTCGAACAGCGTCTGCTTCCCCGTCACTCCGCCGAAGAGGTTCCTAGTCGTGGTAGGATGGTCATTCTTGGCGAGGTGAACCTCGATCAGCCGCGAACACTGCAAGCGATGCGCAAAATTCTGGCCCTATACGCTGCTGAGCCTGAAGGCTCCAGTCCGATGACTTTCGTCGTCACCGGTAACTTCACGCAGCACGCCGTCCTCGCTAGGGGTGGCAGCGGCGGCAGCATCGAATACAAGGAATATTTCGACGCCCTAGCGTCGACGCTCTCGGACTATCCCACTCTTCTTCAGTCATCAACCTTCGTCTTCGTCCCAGGGGATAATGACGGCTGGGTTTCCTCCTTCACAGCAGGCGCTGCGACCCCATTGCCTCGGAAAGCCGCGCCGGACGTCTTCACCTCCCGCATCCGCCGTGCATTCGCCGCCGCGAATGCAGAACTCGGCGCCAAGGGGGATGGGGAAGCCATCTGGACGTCCAACCCTAGCCGTCTGACGGTGTTTGGCCCGAACCATGAGGTTGTTGTCTTCCGCGACGACATTTCAGCCCGTCTCCGCCGCACAGCCGTACGCCTCAAGACATCTAGACAGAAGGAGGGAGAAGAGGGAGACGACGAGAACGCGGCAGCGGACGACGTTGTCATGGCGGGCAGCGACCCCGTGGAAGAAGGAGACGGCGCTATGGATGTAGACATGCCGAGTGAGAAGCCTACCGCCAAGGAGGTCGCATCGAGCCTTTCACAGGATATCCACACGGCGCGGAAGCTTGTCAAGACAGTGTTGGATCAGGGATACCTCGCACCATTCCGCCAGGCTATCCGCCCTGTGCACTGGGACTATGCTACAGCACTGCACATCTACCCGCTACCAACATCCATGGTTTTGGTCGACACAACAGCACCTCCTTTCTGCGTCACGTACGAAGGTTGCCACGTAATGAATCCCGGCAGTATCTTGGTTCCTGGCAGGACACGCGTTGGCCGGTGGATAGAGTACGAGATTGGCAAGATTGGACGGCTGAGAGAGACTACGTTTTAACAAGGAAATCTGCCGGAGGTAATTCGTGGTTTCTCCTAGGGTAGTTCAATGGGCTCAAGCATAGGCCGGCGTTATGGGTGTAACGACTGATGCAGCTAGTTGGGATAGAAAGATATCCTGCAATACGTTTCAATACCATATTTGACCACGCACAAACACTTTTTTTTCCCCCTCAACGTCCGGTGGCTTTGAGGCGTCTCCCTGCGAGACTACACATCTTTTCTTCCTTTCCGTCGGAGTCAGAATGGGAGGCGGAGCGGAGTGGGATGAGACGGGCAGTGTCCGAATGGTGGCTGACGATGTCGTCGTTCTACTTATACGTGCGGGCTGGCATTGGCCGCCTCCTCCTGTTGCTGCGGAGTAGAGGTCCGTAGTCGGCAGGTCGGGTCGTACAGGACGTGGTGTGACCGAATGCTGCCTTTGCGAGTCGCCGAGGTGTGGTCGAGTCTTGGCAGGCACAGCGACATCTCAGTGGAAGGTCACAAATCAGCTTGCCCCGAGGTGGCATTCAGTCTGCACCCAACAAGACAAGGTGGGAGAACAATGGGAGAAGCAAGCATGCTGCGAACGCACACCGCAGTTTGGCCGCAGGCGATGAACATGCCGCATGAAAAGACCAGACGGAGTGTCGGAGTACGTCTTGATCACATGAGCCTTGTCCCTGAGTTTGATGTCAAAGCTGGAGGACAATGTTTACCTAATATGCTGAGGATAGCCAGTTGACATGAACAAATTAGTTTCTGAACTTGAACGGTAAAAACTAAGGACGATCGAGTCGTGGAGCTGTCAATGTCTTGGGGAGGAAGTTGCCACTGCTGCCGTTTGGGGGAGTTGCACAGGGAAGCTTGGGCCCACGGTTCAGATTTAGCGTTGAGACTGGTTGGTCCTCGAGGTATTGGGTGGGGCTAGCTGTGTGCCGTCGTTGGCTAGTGTCGTTGCCGCCCACCGCCTTACCGGCTTCCACCCGTACGGATGCCCTGCAGCGAGGCGAGATGGATCCCAGCGTGGGGGGAGACCACTGAAAAGCAACGCGCGATAGCGTCATCCGGATATCGCTGGAGAAGGAGACCAGAACTTGGAATTGAATCGTCCCCTTTCGAAATATTGTTCATCTCGGACAAAATCCCCTCACTCCTCGAGGAAAATAACTGTAGAGATCGCGCCGCTTGCACATCACTCTGACATTGCCGGAAAGTTCAGACAAACCAACGAAACGGGACCTGGATGCTGAAAACGTACTTGCGCACCTTGCTGCACCTACTTGACAGTACCTTGCCTTGGCTCTACCACCTTCACACCACCCGCTCACTTTAAGGCGGCAGGCACCCTTCCCCTTCCCCTGTTCGCTGTCAGCCGTAGGAAGCTTTTGCCAACTTTACAGCCCGAGCCCGTCAAGAGAGAGAGAGACAGCTTGGTTGGTTTCGAGACAGCATCGACCCCCATCCCACGCCGCCCCTTGTCTCTTTCCTTCCCCAATCCGTGGCCTCGTGACGCTTGCTCTCGCACACCCCAATCTCCCCCCCATTTCTCTCACCATCCGACAACGCAGCCACGACGAGACGCAGCAAAGAGTATTATTATTCCTGTCCTAAGGATATCCTGAAAATTCACCTCCGGCCGGTGACAGCATCCTTCCGCCCACCGGCCGCACCTTCATTCCCCCTTACCGCCAATTGATCATCTACAGCGCACCCCGCGTTTGTTATCTATCAATCGCCGCAGACCTTCCCCGCCGAGAGCCATTCCGACCATGTCTTCCCCAACCCAACGCCGCCATCGCGGCTCGACCACCGACGCTGGTGTCTTCGACGATGCCAAAACCTACTACACCTCTGACGACCGTCACAACAACCGTGCCGGCCCTCGAACTCGAACCTACTCCCAGGTACGACCCCAATTCCGCCGACATCCCTGACCGCCTGTGTTCCGTAACGGATACTCCTGCAAGGATGAGCTAACTTGTGTGTACAGAACAGCTTGTTCAAGCAATTCGAGCGTATTGGACTGCGTGAACCCTTCCGCCGCGGCAGTCATGGCAAGTTTCACCTCACGCCAGCCAGACCGCACTTCCGAGGCCCATTGGCTGACTGTGAATATTACAGACGAAGCTTCTATTTCTAGCGGTCGAAAGTTCCTCATCAATGTCGACGAGACCCTGGAGAGCTTGCAA